CCCCAAAACCCCAAAACCCCAAAACCCCTCAAAGCTTTAAGATAGCTGAAATATAATTTTCCTACCATATAAAATGACAATTTGCTGATTAATAGGAAATGATTATTTAAACAAGTTTTGATATTTTTATGAGATTTAGAATAGAGGCCCAAAGACTTGACTCTAGTCCATTGCAAATTTATGAGTTTTAATAGAATCTCTGCTTTAGATTCTTCTAAAAGTTTTGTTTGATGTTTAGGAGCCATTTAATGAGTAGGAGTTTCTATTTTGGACGTTTAGAGATTTTGCAAATGATGCTAATTTATATGTTGGAGATATACATACAAGTAAATTATGTTGACTAAAACTGAAGTTACTGATGGACTGAGCAATCAGTAGATGTACATCTCTTGCTTAAGAATACTCCAGTCTGACTTTGAAATCAGGAGCAGCAGAGGAATCTTCATTAGCATTTAGCTCACTTGGTTAATGCATTCAATAAAATTGCTTTGAGTGGGATCAAATGGTCTCAAATGTCAAATGAACACTGAAAATACAAGGTTTATTAAAAATCCAAATTCAACATGGTACTTCCTAGGAGATTTTCCTAAAGAATCACTTTCGTTTGATTCGTTTCAATCGTTAAATAGCACCAGAACTAACACTGATTAGACTCTTACAGCAAAGAAGGATAAGTGATCAGATTTCGATAATTTTTTGTTTCTGATCCATTTTTTAATTCAGAGATTCACCAGTGATCTTGAAATTTAGAAACTTTTTATCGACTAAAAGGTCAAAGATAAGGTTTATCAAACAGATACAAACCATACTACCAAGAGGCTGAGAAATGCAGTCAGGTCAAATGAGTAAATGAAGCTCAACACTAATGAAATCAAAGCAACTTAAGAGTCATACTTGAATGATCTAAACTTATATGGAAATAGAGGGAAAGAGGAATCATTCAAAGATTAGCCTGATGTACATATTAAATGTGAAGAATCTGCAAAGTTTTTCCATCACTTTCCTTCATCTTTCTGATACTCTTTTTGGCTAAAATAATGAATCAACTCACTGAAGAAATGAGTGGTGCCTAATAGCAATAAAATTAGAACCGTGGGGAAATAGTTAACCATCGAGCTGCAAGAGTAGAGCCAAATTTCACTCAAATATTCATTACACTGAGAATAAGGTACCAGTTCTTTTATCTCTTTGACAAGAGGGATCTTTTCAGTTGGGATGAAATCAAGAGAGATAAATGAGAAATCCAATCCTAAGATGGAGTTTCCCACCTTTGATGGAGAGTATGGGGACACATTGGCAGAAAAATGTACAACTAAAACTGATTGATCATATTCAATGCACCAGTTGGTGAATTTACTGCCAATAAAGATGAGGTCAGAGCAATAGAAATACTAACTCCTTAGATTATTTGGGCTGTAGTCGATGACGAATCTGCATTTGATTTATTTTATTGAGTTTTATTTTTATTCAAATTGGTATTGAGTGGAGATCTGTGTATCATCGCTCTCACAATTTTTCAACTATCTGAATGCAAGGTTCAACTATCAAATAGAACTTCCTGGAAAAATTTTCTGATCCATGCTGGAGGCCAATTGAGAACAGAACCGAAGCACTCGATGACATTGAGGGTGTTTTATTGAGATATATAATATCAGTAGCCCCAGCCAGGAACACTCTGACCACCCAACTGCTAAATGGAGTTGGTCAGAGAAATGGGATCATTTGGATGAGTGCATCAAAGTTACAGCTCCTCTTTGACATACACATTTGGGATATAGGGCTTGTTAAAATCATCATAAAACATATCAGATAAATACTTCTGAAAGCTTTCTGTGGTTACATCAGTGAAGTTAGAAATACTTACTCCAGAAAGAGTACTTATACTATTATTTTGAGAAGATAAAGGAGTTGGAGGAGAAGGAACATCTTCAACAGTACAGAATGTAAAGATACTAGTAAAACTAGACGGTACTTCTGTTAAATATCCAAATCTTCCTATATTGTTCACAGTTGTCTTAATACTTGTAAACTGAGTTCTAATATTTCCTCCACAAACAAAGACTTAAACTCCATTAATAGTGATAACATTAGCTACATATATCATAATGCTTTGCTGTTCAAACTCTTTATAGATGGTCATTGTTCCCTTGATCAAAAGTGTGAGAATCAGTTTAGCATTGAGAACATCACTCGATATGAAGATACTCAGAATCTATTTAATTGTTATCCATTTTAAGTTTCTTCGTCTCCCTCAGAAAAATTTAGTTAGACATATTTTAAACCTTGACATCAACTCTCAGATTAGTAAAATAGAGAAACGACTATATTTTGTTCAATATATAAATATCTCAAGAAGTTCAAGAGAACTATTAGGTTTTAGAATATGCTTGGATTAATAACTTTGAAGGGTTATTCATTTGTATCTTATATGGTAACTCAATGTTATAAATATGGAGGATTTCTAATTACAAATATGCCAAAGGTAATTATGAAATTAATGGAGTTTTCATCTGGTGTCCTCACTATAATATACTCATCTGCTTCTTCAAGGTTTTGAGCAGATGTCACAGATCTGGATAAGATTACTCCAGAGGTTATAGGAGCCCCATTATCTTGGCCAAGCGTGTAGATTGCCATTTTGTCTAAAAATGAATTTGTAGCATAAATGTATTTTATGTTCCTGCTAATAATGGCTTGGCTCCAAAGCATGTTTCAGGAACCATTTCATTGGATATACTTGATCCAGTAGAATGTTGAAGGAGTGGAGTAGTTCACCGAGAAGAAATCTATGCTAGTTTTCACTGATTTGATAAAGCTTATAAAAGCTGTATCGTCAATGATCTTGAAATAATTCAGATAAGAAGTTCCACAATAAAAGCATTCTGTTTGGACATCAAGTCTTTGCCATTTGCAGAGGTTCATATAATTGCTTGGAAAAATTTTAGCATCAAAGAAGATGAGATTATGTTTTAGAATTGGAATTATTTCATTGAGTTAAATTGCTAAAATTTGTTATTAAATTAGTCCTTGAATTTTCATGATTAGCTATTATACAGAATACTTAATATAAATAATTTCTAAAATCGAATCTAACCAAAAAGTCCCTTAAAAATACAAAACCTCACAAAAGATTAAAAATCTCACATAACCCAAAAAATTCGAAAAATAGGATACCGCCTACTCTACCAATAACTAATACACAATCCCACTTGTGCTTACCCAAATTTTCTCTTTTTCCTCTATTCTTCTTTTCTAATCATAGTGACCCCACTCAAACTTGGGCTTAAAGCTACATTGGCTTACTTCTACTACAGCTGCGTAGATTATGGAAGCACAAAGAGAGATCCGTAGACTATGGCTTGATTCTTATTAGGCTGAAGGCGAGGTTTGGGGTTAGGAAGAGTTAGTGGGGATTTTGGGGGAGTTTACATTAGGGGTTGGTAGTGAGGGAATTGAGGTGTTCTAGGGTTATGGGGTATTGAGTAGGATGGGTAGCAAGGAGAGTAGTAGTTTTGTAGGGTTTGTGTAGTTGAGGTTTGGTAAGGAATATTTATTTAGGATATTAGCTTTGGAGATTTACATTAACTTGAGTTGGGAAGAAACCAGATTTCTGATTTGTTAAATGTTTGTGATTGATAAATTTGATGAATTTAGTTCCAGAAGGTATGAAGGAGACACAAGTCTTGCATATAAATATTGCCAATCACTGCTGATTATCTTCTCTTGGTTGGTGAGATTGCCTAAAAAAAATCCATTCTGATCGCGTTCAAGATATAATCTGTCATGAGAATTGTAGAATAGTAAGAATTTGATCCAGATCGGCTATTCATATATTCGATAGTAAAATAAAGCAATTACTTATAAGGATCAGAGAGGACTCCTGTGACAATGCTCTTAGTTGTAATTTCATATCTGATATCTCTTTTAAGCTGAATCTTAGATATTTCTTGAATAATAGTTCAAATTTCTGTGTCAACAATTATAGTAAAAACTATCATAATTAGGACCTACATGATTTTCATGGGTAGATTAAAATAATATAAATGCCTTCAAACTTAGAGGAGATATTTGGGGTTTTGGGGTTTTGGGGTTTTGGGG